CCCTCCGCCCCCCGCTCTATGGGATTTAACATGGGATTGCAGCTTAAGTCTATGGCTATACTTTAACACGGGAAAGCTCTCATAGGATTAACATGGGGAGGTTTTAACATGGGTTTCTATGGGACTACAGCTTAAGGTAATGGCATATGAATAACATGGGTAATGCTAAGTCTATGGCATAGGAATAACATGGGTAATGCAATGTCTATGACAATGATAAGTCTAGGGATTCTTGAGTCTATGGGGAATTAACATGGGATTACTGCATAAGTCTATGGCTATACTTTAACATGGGTAATGCTAAGTCTATGGCAATGATAAGTCTATGGCAGTGATAAGTCTATGGCAATGATAAGTCTATGGCAGTGATAAGTCTATGGGTAATGCTAAGTCTATGGCAATGATAAGTCTATGTGTAATTCTAAGTCTATGACAATGATAAGTCTATGGGTAATGCTAAGTCTATGGCATAGGAATAACATGTGTCATGGTATATCAATGGAACAATGGGATTATAAATGAATCTGCCATAATAAATAGAACTAATTGTTGTCAAAAACATTTAAAATTTTCAAAATAATAATAGTGAGAGTATTCTAACAATAGTATTGAAAAATTTAAAATCTTTGATGCATTTCCCGAATTGTGGTTAACGTATAGCATCGCTGTGTGTGAGTTGTTTGAGTAGACATTCAAAGTTGTGTTCATTCAAGCCTTTGGACATCTTCTCTGAGCTATCACTTTGTGTGCGTTTAAACAGTGAATAGACATCGAGAGTATATTGTGTGGCGAAGACACACCTCTGGAACTGTTTGGACACCGATTGGAGTCTAATCTTCTCTTCAATAGACAATCCTTTTAACAACTCTTCGCACAAATCATCGCATATTCTGTCACCGAATGAATCTTTTCGATCATTTATTTCACTATTCATTTGATTAATTTTTACAAATAATAATTAAATTAAAAATAATTAAATATATTGTAAGGAAAACTGTATTCATTAAAAATATATTGTTTATCAAAACAGGTGTATAAATACAAAATTATAACGTTTAACAAAACAGTGATTGCAATGCAATGAATGCAATCACTTGTATATTACATAATAAACCGGTTGTTAAGCACTGATAGTCAGGTGTTTTGCGCAATACTATTGGCATTAGTCTATATAAAATTATGGGAATTTTAAATAAAAAACAATTAATTTATCATTTCCACAATTTATGTATACTTTAAATTGATTTAAATGTATTCGTATAAACAGAGATTGAAATTCAACAGTTAACTCAACGTTTAGGTCGTTATGTTGAATAGTATTGGCAAAATTGTTATCTTAAATATACGTTATTTTAAATAACAGACAATTTTATCATTTAATTAGTTTATTTAGTTTATATAAATGTGAATGTCTTATACAGATTGAGACCGTAATCGTTAGCATTAACTCATCATTTGTTTCATTTCAATATTCAATCCATGAATTAGTGCTCAAAAGAATTGTCAGAAGAATCGGAATCCGAAGACTTAGAACTCTCGACTGATTTTGCATTTATAACCTTTTCTTTCAACAAAACTCTTTGATGTCTATTAAGAAAATAGTGGATATAATTAGTGCTCGTCTTATAGACAATCATTTCCGGCTTATTAATGATATCCCTGTCATTGGATTTGATTATCCACCGGTAGTTGTCTTCATCCCATCCCTGAAAGCGAATGGACTTTATTTTGTGACAATTGTCTTGTATTTGATAAAAGTATTCATCGCTTAACTCATCCTTTGTATAGATTACTAGTTTCTCGAGTTTCTTGAGTTTTATTACATTTTTGGTCCACAAATCGCTCTCAATATTAACCACTCGTAAGAAAAGAGACTTTATTTGTGGTAAATGTTTGTCAATGTCTGCGAAGAACTCTTCGGAGAACTTAAATCCATCGCAAAATATAGTTAAAGACAAATGTTTTAATTGTTTGCATTGACTGAATGTTTTACTCGTTATGTTTGACCGGAATTCTGAATCCTTTGACTTGTGGTTCAATTCAATCGATACCTCAAAACTCTTCAAATGTTTGAAATGTTTGATTTCATCAAATAATAGCCATTTATGTGTCGGAAAGTTAAAATCTAAGCGCCAATAGATGTTATATTTTCTTACTTTTAGACAATTAATACCGATTTGTCTCAACGCGTGTCTGAAAGTCTGGTCGTCGGTATCAAATGCAGACCAGTCTTCGTAATGGTTCATAACTTCCAAGTTTTTCAATTCAGACAATTGTTGGTAAACATAACTTAAATCATTAGTTTCACTACAACTGTCATTAAGCGTAAATTCTCGTAACGACTGATTATTTTCAATAAATATTTTCAGATTTTCTCTGTTATCGGGAATTGAATTTAAAGTAAGTTTTGTCATATTATTCAACAAACATTGGTTTCCTTCAAATGCATCCATAAGTATACCAGAAGTACTCCAATAACGCGTCACTTCAGAGATATTTGTGAATACTTTTAAGTCTTTCTTTAGGTCTTTATAGTCGTTAGAAAAGCCAATAGTTGTGACACTTTTGCTGTATTTATCTGTGAATCGACGGTAAGTCTCTTCAGATACACGATATAAATCGATGTCAATACTCGTCAAATGATCGCAAGATTTAATAATTACATCAATTAAGCGATTATAGAGCTCTTCATCGATGGACTCGTCATAAGGCATATGAATATCGGATAGATTTTGACATTTTTTGAGCAAACTTTCAAATTTGATTTCATCCAATCCCTGGTATATCAATATTCTCTCAAAGTCCTCGCTTTGCCTATAAGTCAGTGAATAGAGATCGAGACTCTGCACACTCGTGAAGACACACCTCTGGAACTGTTTGGACATCGATTGGAGTCTAATCTTCTCTTCAATAGGCAATCCTTTTAACAACTCTTCGCACAAATCATCGCATATTCTGTCACCGAATGAATCCCTTTTGTAATTCAATTCAGTATTTGTTTCACTATTTAAAGACATCTTTGTTTAATAATTAAAACAATTTATTAATAACTATTTTATTTTACAAATTGTAATACAAAAATACAACGTTTGACAGTATAGTGATTGCATTTCTATAGATGCAATCACTTGTATTACATAATATAGTGGTTGTTAAGCAGTAATAGGTGTGTGTTTTGCGCAATAGTATTGCTAACAATTTCACTAATAAAAGGGAAATTCAAATAAAATTATAATTCAATGAAACTGTTATTCAATAGTTAGTTGCGAACGAAATGAAAACATTTGTATTGTTTTTACCAAAAAGTGAATTTTAGGCTCAAAGAAAAATTATGTTTTAGTGCAGCCAATAGTAAAGGTATACAATTAGTTACATAAATAATTTTGAAATGACAACAAATTGAATGTTAATAATAAACTAATTTAAGTTATATGCGATCGTTGGGCAGACAAAACACTTTTACCATCATTTAGATAATAGTATTGGAAATTATCACCACTCGTGTAGATTTGCATTTCTTCCACATCCTTGAGATTAAAGTCATTGGATTTAATAATACATGTCTTCGTTGTAGTAATCCGTGTCATAAATCGGATCCATTTTAATTTGCAACAATTGTCTTGTATTATATAAAAATATTCATCGCTTAACACATCCTTTGAATATAGAAAGAGTTCTTCGAGTTTCTTGAGTTTCGCAATACTATTGATCGATAGATCGCTTGTAATGTTAACTTCGTTGAGATTCAGTGATTGTAATTGTGGTAAATGTTTGTCAATATCAGTGAAGAACTCATCGGTAAAATACAATTCATTGAAAACAATATTTAACGACAAATGTCTTAATTGTTTGCATTGACTAAACGTTTTACTCGTTATATTTGACTGAAAGGCGAGTAAATCGACTGAAATATCTCTCATATAAAAGTAGATGTCCAGAGAATTTAAATGTTTCGCGTGTTTTATTTCATTAAATAGCAACCATTTATACGTCAATGAGTTTCCCAATTTTGCGAGTGTCCATTGGATACACAATTTGCGCAATTTGTGGCATTTATTAGCCATTTGTCTGAACGCGTGTAGGAATAGCTGGTGATCGACATTCACTTCGAGCTCGTTATCACAATGTGTTCCAATTTTGCGAGTGTCCATTGGATACACAATTTGCGCAATTTGTGGCATTTATTAGCCATTTGTCTGAACGCGTGTAGGAATAGCTGGTGATCGACATTCACTTCGAGCTCGTTATCCCAATGTGTTTAATAGAAATTATTTAATTATAAAAACTGGGTTGTACCAGTTAATTAGGTTACCACCGATTTTACCTTGCTATCTTATACGCCATATCATATACTATATCTATATAAAATTTGACTGAAATTCACCATGCAACTTTCGAGATTTTCGACTTTGTTTTAGAAAAAATTTACATTAGGTCTATGGGGAAAAAGTGTGCCAGAGCCGAACTTTTGAAACAACATTTTTGTTGTATAGAAAATTCGGCTCTGGCACACTTTTTCCCCATAGACCTAATGTAAATTTTTTCTAAAACAAAGTCGAAAATCTCGAAAGTTGCATGGTGAATTTCGGTCAAATTTTATATAGATATAGTATATGATATGGCGTATAAGATAGCAAGGTAAAATCGGTGGTAACCTAATTAACTGGTACAACCGNGTAAATTTTTTCTAAAACAAAGTCGAAAATCTCGAAAGTTGCATGGTGAATTTCGGTCAAATTTTATATAGATATAGTATATGATATGGCGTATAAGATAGCAAGGTAAAATCGGTGGTAACCTAATTAACTGGTACAACCGTAGTTTTCATTGAAGACATCATTTATGGCTGAGATGTGGCCCTCTATTGGCAATGGTTTGGCACAAAACAAAGCATTGTTTTCATATGTTTTCACACTTTGAGCACAATTTGTGACACAAATAATCGCTTCAATTGTCACCGAAAATGGCCTCAAAAGCAAAGCCGAAGACACAATCAAACGAAGCAATAATCGCCGGCTTTAATGAATTACGAGCCGAACAAAGACAAGTGGCCAACAAAGTGGCCGAACTCGAGGCCGACCTCTCCGAACACAAGTAGTGCAACAACTCTTTGATTGTCTGACCAATTGATCCCAATTGTGATGTCTATTCTTCTTCCGCTTCTTGTTTGACAGACTAGTGTTGGAAGCGTTGGCCGAGACTAACGGCGACCGCAAGTGTTTCCGAATGATTGGCGGCGTTCTCGTCGAGCGAACGGTCGCCGAAGTGTCGCCTTCGCTGCAGAAGAATAAAGAGATGGTAAGCGAGAAGACATTCACTTGTTGTTTGTTTTGATGTGATTTTAATGACTATTTTGTGGACAGATTTCGCAAATGATTGAAACATTGAAACAACAAATCGTTACTAAAGGACAACAAATCACTGAATATATGGACAAAAACCAGATTCAGATCCGCTCTCAACCGACGGCACAATCGTTAGCCGCGTCTGAATCGGGCGCCGGAGCCGAGGGTTCGGGCGTTTTGGTCGCCAATAGTTAGAAGTGAAGCCTCTTTTGAATTGAATATTGTTTGTGAGGCCAGAGAGAGAGAGAGAGAG